AACAGGCATACCGGCGTATGGGACTAGTCCCATGCTGTCGCTGTAGCGCAACATATCTCGTTGAATTTCGCTCAGCTGCGATGCCGCGATGAGAGGCGCCGATTCAGAAAATACGTCGGTGACATCGGCGCAGTAAAACCTACCGGCGCACCCCAACTCGTCGCCGCTAACACTCCCATTCACCTACTGCCGAGACAACTTCCGGTTCCGGAAACAGCGTACGTCACGGCTTGTTTTGCGGTCAGTTGGAGAGAAAGAAAAAGTCGATATTTCATTAATTTTTTGTGCAGAAGTTAATAAACCGAGACGAAAACGGATGCCTGTTCGGCATTCAGTGAACATTGACGGTTTAATGTAAAAGTTATTTGGAAAAAGTAAAAAGGTCATTTCATGGTCCCTTTAATTCTTTGCCACAGGCTGGACAGCTTTTCCGGGGCCGCAAACACAACCGGCAAATCAAAGTGTGCCGCCACTTTTTTTAGGTTCTGTGAGACCTTGTGTATATACGGTATAACAGCGGGTCTCACTCTCCTCCTGGGCTCAGTGTTGCCATTTTAGCGATTTTGTCGCTAGACTTGGGGATTGTTTATATACATTTAGCGAGGGATTTTTTTACATTAGCGGCTAGCGACTTTTTTAGAGACTTTGGTGTTCAACCGTAATCTTGTTATTTTGAACAATTTTAGAGACGCTCGCGGGCTAAACCCTTTTGCATCTCTAGCCGAGCTTGCCTTGGATCTGGATATATGCTCAATTTAGCGGCGCGCTTAAAAAAAAAAAAAAATGGTCAACACTGCAGACCATCTCTCCCGCGCCCACGTACCTACGTGCTCTCCGCAAAACGTTGCTACCACCAGCCAAGAACGCAGCCGCTCGTAGCTGGCGGCTGCGCTCTTGGCTTTCGTTTTCGACTACGAACTTCCAGAAGAAGTTGTTCGGCGAATTGGCACAGCTGAAGCCTACAAAGCTGGCAACGAACCGTCGACATCGGCAGATTTAGGTGACTCGACTGCAGTCACCATCGAGGAAGAACCCTTCTTCTTCTAGACTGTTCCGTTGAACTGTTCTTGAAGACACAGCAGACATTATAAAATTAACAAGCACCCGTTTCTTATTCGTACTTTCGTACTTACCGCCTAGTCGTTTCGCAAATAAAACATTACAAATAAAAACCGTCCTAGATGTTTTTCAGTGCAAGTTTAACCTCTCAAAATACCTGAGATATGATTATTTGAGGTTCACTTACTTTAAAAAGGTTTAATAAGCTTTTGCAATTCAGCGAATATTTCATCGACTTCCTGGCGAATCTAGCGACTGCTTAGTGAGTTACTGGCCTCAATTTAGCGGCGCGCGCGCAAAAAGAAGAAAAAAAAAATGGCAACATTGCCTGGGCTCCTGTGCGTCCTCTTCTTCCTTTTTCATCTTGGAAACAAGTGTTTCAGCCACCTCTTGAAGAAAGCGATCAGGGTAACCCGATGATTTTAGGCGTTCCACCTGGTTGAAAAAACTACTTTTCACGGCGTGCTGGCACGACTTGGCCAACAATGCCTCCAAAAGGGAGGAAGCGATTCCTCTTTTAACTTGCTTAAAGTGTGCTGAATTAAAGGGCAGGACCGTTTTCTTTGAGCGTGGTCTGTACTCCCCCCCCCCCCCCCCCCCCAGCACACGTGCTCCTCTTGAAAATCTAAACTTAAATCCAGGAATTGCAGCTTTCCTGACGCCATTGTTTCGTGAGTGAACTTTAGTCCTCGCGAATTTAAACAGAAAAAAAAGTGCTGGGAATTTTCTGTTTAAATTCGCGAGGACTAAAGTTCACTCACGAAACAATGGCGTCAGGAAAGCTGCAATTCCTGGATTTAAGTTTAGATTTTCAAGAGGAGCACGTGTGCTTGGGGGGCGGGGGGGGGGGGGGGGAGTACAGACCACGCTCAAAGAAAACGGTCCTGCCCTTTAATTCAGCACACTCTAAGCTAGTTAAGAGAGGTATCGCTTCCTCCCTTTTGAAGGCGTCGTTGGCCAAGTCGTGCCAGCACGCCGTGAAAAGTAGTTTTTTCAACCAGGTAGAACGCCTAAAATCGTCGGGTTACCCTGACCGCTTTCTTCAAGAGGTGGCTGAAACACTTGTTTCCAAGATGAAAAAGAAAGAAGAGGAAGCACAGGAGCCCAGGGGGGCTAAGCTCGCCTCCGGCGGGAATCTCTCCGATGCCACGTCACGAGGGAGGGGAGGAGCTTCTTTTGACTCCGCCCCGGCGAGTTTCCCACTCCCCCTCTTACATTTCCGACCCCCCCCCGGCGGCGGCGAGTTCCCCAGCGTAGCTCCGATTTTTCCCTACGCTCCGCAGTGAAGGGTTTTTATTTTATTTAAATCGGGGGATCGGTGGCCGGCTGGGCTAGCGCACACCAGCTCGGAGCACGTCGAGTGAAAGGTCCGTTGCAGAACCCAAGATGCTGGGTTCAATCCCCACCCCTGCCCGTTTCGATGTTGATGAGCATCGTACCGTCGTGCAGTGTGTAACACTACTGCGGGATGGACGTTAAAGACCCCAGGCTAGCGGTTGTACGGCACTGCATGGCTAAATTTCTCATCTACAGCTGGGAGAATCTTCCCCGTTGGGGCAGACCAAGTTTTAGGCAGTATCAACATACATACAGCCCAATCTTTTTTATTTAAATCGTAAATGACAAATAAGAATAGGTAACAGCAGGGATGCTAATTATTCAAACATTGCTTGGATGTGGGCTAGTTGACTAGACATTGTGATGGTTTGCTGCGCCACGTAGATGCAAGAAAAACGCTCTTGATAAAGATATGAACTAAAGCAGAGTATAGACGAAAAACAACATACAGGAATGGAGCAGACTAACAACTGTGTAATTTCTTTCTCATCTTTCTCCCCCCACACCGCCACACAGCCACAACATTTTTTTTTTTTCAGAATAGGGAGCGAAAGCTCGCGCTGCAGAACCCAGGATCGTGGATTCACCCCCACCCCTGCTCTTTTCGATGTTGATGAGCATCGTACCGGCATGCGGTCGTGTATCACTACTACGTGGTGCACGTTAAAGACCCTATAGCTAGCAGTCATACTGCACTGGCTAAATTGCTTATCTACAGTAGGTGACAATGTCGCAATGTTCTGGCATGTTCTCCTGCTGTATAAACAACTAACGGCCAATTTGTTTGTCAAAATACGGTGTGGAGGGAGAAAGATGAGAAAGAAATTACACAGTTGTTAGTCTGCGCCATTAATGTATATTGCTTTTCTTCTATCATCTGTTTTAGTTTGAATTTTATCAAGTGCGTTTATCTTGCATCTACGCAGCACAGCAACCCATCAAAATAATTGTAAAAGCCTGTAGGTAATGGTAAATTGCGTTCCTGGTTGCTGCCGTAAAAACACATTTGTTTCTAGGATTCACTTTGTAGAATTTGGATGTAGGATTCACGACGGGGGCGACGGTTCATTCACGGCTCCATCGCCTCAAGCCCGGTTCGCCACGCAGTTCATCGCACAGCCACCTTACCACGTCTTTCGAGAGGCGATAGTGTTGTTGAAAATGAACGTCGTCCATGTCAAACATATTGGCGTGGCTTAAATACCTATGCCGACGGCAAAACACGAACGAAACCGCTGCCATTTTGGACGCTTCTCCCTGATCTCGCGCCCAACTCGCCCAAACTCGCTTAGGTCGGAGCCGGCAAGCTTTTCCCATCCGCGGCGGCTTCTGCCACGTCACAATGACGTCACCGCATCTCGCCGCGAGTTCCGAATATGCAACTCTCCGACTGCCTCAAACCTTCCGTTTAACGTCACGATCTAGGGAGTGTCGGCGCGTGTCGTCATGCACGGCGCCGACCAATCGCGGCGGTCGGCGAGTTTGACGGAGAACTCGCCTCGATCTCGCCGCGCCGAGCTTAGCCCCCCTGGAGGAGGTGAGACCCGCTGTTATACCGTATATACACAAGGTCTCACACAACATAAAAAAAGTGGCGGCACACTTTGATTTGCCGGGTGTGTTTGCGGCCCCGGAAAAGCTGTCCAGCCTGTGCCAAACAATTAACAATAAACAAGACGGAGCTGACGTTTGCAGAAAGAAGCACTCTAGAAAATTCGTGGAATGCGCATCTTCGGTCGTATACGAAATTCCAATGACATGCGGAAAAGGGTACGTGGGCCAAACGGGCAGATGCGTTGATGAAAGGGCAAGGGAGCACGCGCTATTGTAAGGAGTTCCCCTGCGGGCACTTTAGCTATTCATTGCGACAGATGCCCTTGCGCCCCGGAACTGGAAAAAAAAACAAAAATTCTGGGAAAGCTGAGAAGTAAAATATCGAGAGAGATGTTCAAGTCATTTAACATTAGAATGTGGGGGGATGACAAGTGCATTAGTGCCCCGTCAGTGCATCTGACAGACAAAGAATTTGAATTCTTACTTGAGATGCCCGATTGGGGGTATATAAATAGTGTGTTTTCAATAAACATTCAGTTGAAAGTAGCGCTTCGTGTTGTCTCACTTACACTGTCCTTATCTTGCCGCGCACTATGTGAAAATAAGTCATGTACCAACTGCCCATCTTTCACTATTGATGCATTGCATGATGGCGGCGCAACTGACATCGTTGAACGAGCAAGTCATTCCATAAGATAGCTAACGTCGGAGCGCGGCCAATGCTATACGAGCCGACGAGCCAATCAAACAGCGTCGAAAGTGCAACGTCATTGCGCTCATCACCTTTTTCTGTGAGGGTTTTTTTTCCTTGTAATCCAACTTAACGTATAAAGTGCCGCGACGCTGCGGTTTTAGTCCGCCATTCTGCAAGGATTCCACAGCCTCTAACAGAGGGCAGTCTTTAGATAAGAGTCTACAGTGCTCCCCCCCCCCCCCCCCCCCGTCCCTTCTTTCCAGCGTACGCACTATGCTGGAACTGGAGAGAACAGCTGCTTCATCAACTTGCCCAAGTAAATAATTAGACTGTTTTCTTCACCACACATGTTTTATTAATCCGACATCACAAACGTGTATAGCCCATCAAGTTTTGCTGTAATGACATCGCGCAACCTCTCTTTCAGGCCTGTATTAAAAAACGTTTTCACGTAGGCTTCGAACGCTATTTTAGCAGCCGCAAACGTGAATGTAGGTTCACCGATATTGGATGACTTTATATCTACATCCTTGGTTCCTGATATTTCCAGCTCTTCCACCTTTAGTTTCACATCCTTCCTAAAAAGAAAACAAAATCAGAAATCGGTGTTTTAGGGCATATAGAGAAAAATCAGCAATATATGTATTTAACGTAGCAGTTCAGGAATCATGCGCTGATTCAATTGGTATCATCTCCAACTTTATGTACGGTTTCGTTACGCCGGCTACCCAGCGGTTTACGTGTTTAGACAGTTGTTGCATGTGTTTCTAGTAAAGTGGTGGTTGACAAAGGCCCGAAACCTGTAAAGTCTGTAGTCATATCATTATTTTACCAGGTCTCTCTTAAATCTGCGACCAATAAGTTCAGTGTAAACACTACGTAGCACTGATTTTAGGCTGTATTTTTGACCCCTTTTGTAACCATTATTTTACTGTAACTTGCCTAATAGCCAACGCTAATCTGTACCCTCGGGCCAATCGGAGCGACGGAGGCGAAGCACGTGACAACCCCTACGAAAGGCGCGGGGGTGGAGCCTAACCCGAGCAGTTGGAGAAGAGGGGAAGGAGGAGCTCGACTTATACGCGATTCAGAACCTGTATATCCAACGAGTCGAAAAATTCACTAGTGGATATTCAGGCTCGTTGGATATTCAGGCAAGGTTGCATCTTCCGTCTGGTTGGATGTTCAAGCTTATAGGACATTCAGCCTGATTTAGACATTCCGTCTCGATGGATGTTCGGTCATGGTGGACATTCCGGCCTAACATGGATCTTCCGTCTCGTTGGATATTCAGACTAGTTGCGCATTCCGTCTCAGTTCGACATTCTTTCTCGACGGATACTCCGTCTCGCCTGCCACGTGACCGAGCGGATACAGTACGCGGAGCGGCATACAATTGCATTCCTCTGGCTACCTCATTTGAGCGATGCGTTTCGCAGTGGTTACCTATTTCTAGTTGATAGATCCTCATATTTGTTAGAAAATAATGTTAGTTGCTCAGGCGAATTCTAGGAAGTTGGTTAAATTTCGGTAATTTTGCGAAACATACACAACAGCTGAAAAATACAAAGATAGAAAGACGTAGAACATTACGCAGCCTCAGCGGCACAAATCCCGATATTTATTTTAGAAACATGAAGGGAACTGTCTTGTTAATAAATTTCGTCCGACACGAAAGAATAGCTAGGACAGTAACTAGGTTTCAAGAATAAAGTGTAAACTCATACAACAATGAGGGGTTGGTACACACCGGACAACTGTTTACACAAGAAAGCGCTACCGAGACGAAGCTTCGTAGAGTGACAAGTTTCCGCTTTTGGCATGCGGCACCCTTCTCCGCGACATCAGAAGTGGACAACGCCGTCAGCGGAAAACATGAAGCATTTATTCACTTTATGCGTCACTGAACGACTACTATTTCTTAAGTAGCTCCTGGGATCACACTAATGCTTATGATTGTTAACATTTGAGTCAACCCGAGACTGAGGAAATACGAAAGTGGACACCAAAAAAAGAGAAGGAGGACGTCGCTTTAAAATGATCCGTGTACACCAGCTCGCTAGCCCTTACGTTTTGTTCATGATTGTGTCCACGCTATTGCAGACGTTCTGGTACGTAGCAGCGTGACCACTGAATAATGAGGCGAACGCATCAATGTCTGCGTAAAGCCTCTCGTTTCTTGCCGAGACGGAGCTTGATGTTGGTCTTGCCACAGCGAGTGTCCCCAGCAGAAGAGCCTGGATTAGGTTTTGAACGGCATGCTGCGCAACCCGAAAAAATTTGGGTTCCTTCTTGTATTTTTTTTTTGAAATTTGGCAGACTTTTGTTTGTTTTCTCGTTTAACAAAAGCTTCAGGTAGCAGTTTAAATAAAAAAGTACGAGTGTGACAAGAAAGTTCAAAAGTTAGTCGTAATTAATTGAGTATATCCTATAAATTAAGTGCTTGAGCTTTTGGAAGACGCTGACAAGGAAAGCACGGTTTGTTTGATATCTTAGAGAGGCCTGACTTTTCTATTAGGGCCGAAGCTCCTTAGTGTCTAGCCTTGTCCGGCGTCCGTGCTCCCATCGATTGCACTGCCTCCGGGATCGGCCCACTTAAACGTACGCAAGCACGGGGGTTTGAACTCATGACCGCTTGCTTACGAAGCAGATGTCTTAACCACTACGCTACATTACAACGTTGCATGTAGCCGCTTAACGTTTATACGGGAGAGGGCGCTGCGGTCAAATGCGTATATAATTGCTTTAAACTTCGCATGCATTGGCTCAACTTTTATAGACGAGAGGGCGCTGCGGTGAAATGCTCAACTGCGTATGTAACCACGATCCATACCACACATTCTCTTTCTGACATGGACCGTTGACTTAAGCGGTGGAGATGCGTTCCCACGACTTCTAGCGGATCCAAGCTGATCCGCTAGAAGAACCACTGGCTCTGCATTTCACCGACCATAAAGCAGCAATAACGAAGTCGAAACGCAACCCGGAACTCAGCGCTACCTATGAGCAATAAAAAAAAAAAAAAATCAACACCATCAGCACTACCTATGAACAATAAAATCAGTATCATCACCACCAGAGCTTTGCCCCAATCAACATCATTCACCACGTGGAGACGCGGCCTCTTTTTTCATTAACGCTTGGCTCGTTTTAATGGGACACCCTGTATATGTTTGTCGAAGCAGTGCATGAAAGCAGTCGTTGTCTCTGAGAGTCGCGGACACCAGGGACATTTATTTTAAAGCCGTCACAACATTGCTAGAATCTGTCTGGTAAACTTTATTTCAGTATTGCTTCCTCTCACCGCCCGTTTATTCACAAAGAGCAAAGTCCCATAAGAAGCATATCTGTTCTACTGCGTACTGCGAACTTATTTTTACTATATTGTATTTAGGTTCTAAGTTGTCACGTTGTACAGCATACAGTAATTGTCTACGTCTTCACGGTTGCCGTATTGGATATCCAATATCAGTGTACATTCATACCTGGTTGGATCTTCCGTCTCGTTGGATATTCAGTCGCGGTGGACATTCAGGCCTGGTTGGATCTTCCATCTCGATCGATATGCAGGCACGGCGGACACGCAAACGGCCCGAATATCTATCGAGACACAAAATTCAACGAGTCGAAAGATCCATTTGATCACGTGACAGGCGAGACGGAGTGTACATCGAGACGAAATGTCCAATTAGGACGGAATGTCCAATGAGTCTTAATATCCAACGGGACGGAAGATCCAACCAGGTCTGAATGTCCACCGTGCCTGAATATCCATCGAAATGGAAGATCCAACCAGACTTGAATATCCAGCCAATAAGACGGAAGATCCATCCAGGTCGGAATGTTCACTGAGACTGGGTACTTAATGCGGCAACCGTGGAGACGCAGAATATTACTGTGCTGTGCAGTGTGACATGCTAGAACCTAAAGTAAGAGTACGGTAAAAATAAGTTCGCAATTCGTAGTGGAGTAGATATGTTTCCAAGGAGACTTCAATGCCTTCTTGTGAATAAACGAGCGGCGAGGAAAAACATTCCTGAAATAAAGTGTACTGTCAGGTTGAAATGAAAGGCGATCACCGGAGCGCGTGCCGCTTCGTACATCCTGCGCCGCCTGTCAGCGATCGGGGGAACCCTCGGCGCATGCGCTGTTCAAGTTGAGGCTGCGAGGCGGCGTGTCCTACTGTTAGGTGCTCAGCTCCCGGCTGGCGCACCTGTGCTTCTCCGCGGCGCCGCTGAGGGTGCTCTAAGCCGTCGCCGCTGGGGTTCAAGCTCCTGGCTGCCATCGCCGCACGCTCGCCGACGGTTTAGAGCACCCTCAGCGGCCCCGCGGAGAAGCACAGGTGCGCCAGCCGGGAGCTGAGCACCTAACAGTAGGACACGCAGCCTCGCACCTTCAACTTGAGCAGCGCATGCGCCGAGGGTTCCCCCGATCGCTGACAGGCGGCGCGGGATGTACGGAGCGGCACGCGCTCCGGTGATCGCCTTTCATTTGAACCTGATAGTACCTGGGAGATCCTCGTAATTTTGTGACGGATTTTAAATAAATGTCCGTGGTGTCATGAACTCTCAGACAATAGCTGGTTTGGGCAAAACTATACAGGGTGTCCCATTTAAAACAAACTAAGCTTTAAAACCAAATAAACCAGAGCTTTACGCGATGAAACCAACTGAGCTTTGCTTGTAAGCGTTTTCCGAAAGCGCAAATATATAATTTGTGACACTTAATTTATTCATTACGACTAATTTTAAAACTTTCTGTTGTCGTGCACAGTCCTTTGCCAGTAGTTCTTGTGTTCTTAATTTAAACTGTTTATTGAAACCATTATTAAACGAGAAACCAAGGAAAGGACTGCCAAATTTCTAAAGAAAATACGCGAAGTAACCTGAATACCTTCAGGGTGCGGAGCATGCCCCACAGAATCGAATCCAGGCTTTTTTGCTGGACCCGTTCGCTGTGGCAAGACCCTCATCAAACTCAGTCTCGGCAAGAAACGAGAGGTTTGCCTCACTCACCAGTGACCATGCTGTCATCTACCAGGACGTCTGCAATGACGTGGACAGAATCACAAGCATCTGTGTGCTCCCAGGGGCTACCTAACAGTTCTTTCAGTAGTCCTTTAGTGACGCATAAGGTGAATACATAGTTTTTTTTGTTTTTTTTGTTTTTGTTTTTTTCTTTTGCTGGCCACGTCGTCCTCCTTTGAAGACGTGGAGAAAAATGCCGCATGCCGAAATGGGAACCTATATCACTCTACGAAGCTTCGTCTCCGTAGTGTTTTTGCGTAAACAGTTGGTCTGGCGTGCAATAATACCATTCCTCGTTGTACGTGTTTACATTTTGAAGCCTCTTTCTTTTTGTCAGGAAATTTATTAATAAAACGATAGCCTACATAATACATCTTTCTTAAATAAATATTGAGTATTTGTACAGTTGAGACTCCGCTAATTTGTACGTCTCTTTCTATAAAACGATAGCCTACATAATACATCTTTCTTAAATAAATATTGAGTATTTGTACAGTTGAGACTCCGCTAATTTGTACGTCTCTTTCTAATTTTTTTTTTGAACGGTTGTA